CCCTTCTGGAATGCCATGCCCAAATCAATTCAAATACTTTTTGAGCACTTGAGTACTACCAATTAAAATTTAATCAGAATTTATTTCTTTAGATAAAACTTTTATGTAGCTACTCATCCTAACAAAAAAGCCAGGTGGTTCCCAAGATTTACAGAAAGTGAATGAGTAAATCATGAAATTTTGTCTCATTATAATGATAATACATTTATGGTTTAGCCATTTTTTTTATATATATACACATAAAAGGAAATGTTACTGCTTACTTCATTAGTATACCACAAGACCAAGAAGTAAGTTTCTCAGAATCATTGGAGTGAGACATGGGAATGGCCTTGAGGGACAGGATGAATTTTGCAAGAATGCATTTATTCCCCCCTCCCCCGCTTCTTTTATCTTTGTGACAACTAAAGAGGGCCTTGTCTGAGATGTTTTCTTAGGGTACAGTTCTGTCCTAGACTTGGGTTTCTGTTTTCTGATTGTTGTCTTAGTAGCATCTTTCCCTTCTGCCCCTCAAAATCATTATCTTGGTGCACTACAATTACTGACAAAATAAATAAAAAAAATGACTAGCTTTCATCAGGTTGTAAAATGGCCTTTTCTGAAAAACAACAACAAAGGAAGATAATACAAGTATCCACACAGCACTATTAATATAAATATAGGGGATAGTTTTCTTTTGTAGTTTTCTTTTTGTTGGAAATGTCACCACACCCCAGATTATCATTAGAATATGATAGAATGGAGAGTTTATTTATTCCTTTTTTATAATGCCCTTTGAAATAAATTGGTTTATTCTATTTTATTGTAAATTTACTAATCCTGGGCAGCTATGTGTAGGATATGTTATGATATACAGTATCTGTATATCATAATGAATAGTCAAAACCAATTCTCGGGATTAAGGAATTAAAGCAATATGTCTGTTCTTGTTATTTTGGGTATCTCCCCATTCCTTATGCTCTTGGCTGTCTTCCTAGATCCCTTTTGATTTATAGTAAGAAGTAAAAAATAGTGTCCTATAACAGCTAGACTGTATTTAATATGCTTTAGGACAATGTACACATATTCATACAGTGGATTTATCTCATTTCAATGGTATATTTCTATAATGCAAAAAATATTTAAAAACCCGAATAGTCCAATTGTTTCATATTCTAAAGTTTTCATTCTTTGATAAATACTTCATGCTTGGTTTTACTTTACTTCTTATTTAGTCTGCAAATTTTCTTGAAAAATCCCCAGAAGCAATTATATAAATTTCCTAATGTATGTTTTTTTACCAACCAATTTAAAAGGGCTTTATATTTTTACCAATATACCCATCTTTATGTGCTTTTATTTTTTGCATCCTTCTCAGCAAAAATTACAGACAAATGAATAAGTTCACACTTATCAATTGAATTAAATGAATTTTTCTTCATGATTACATCCTTGGGTGTGATGTGTAAGGAATGCCAAACAACACCAACAAAAAAAGAGAGAATCACATGTAGAATCTGAAAACTGGATTACCAAGTCTTTGGAGATGGATTTGATATGGAACCTTAAAGTGAGATATAACCATTTGTTCAAGTATCTTTGATATTTTTTTGAAAAATATTGATTCAGACTCAGTAATAGTGTCAGATCTATACTTTACAAAAGGCTCTGATTGTGTTTAAAATCTCAGTTGGACTTAGAACACTGCATCATTTTTTTGGATATGATATTTATTCTTTATTCCCATATTTATTGTATTTTGGGGAGAGCAGACTGCTCTCAGTAGTAGTCCTAAACACTTTTAATGCATATTGTTTCATGGACTTCAAAAGTGAGTTGTTTTTCATTTGTTGCTTTTGAATAACTTTGGAGATTCAAATGAATAATGAATATGGCTCAAGAAAAAAGAAACATACAAAAGCAACTTCCCTTTTCAAGGAGAAGCCTCAGCATATCTAACCAACTACTGACATTTTTAGCTGAAATAGCTCATAATAAGAACAAGACCTTTGTTCTGTAGGGCACACACAATGCTCAATAAACTCAAAAACGTTTCCTTCCATTATTTATTTTGCTTTAAAACCACCCACTTACTTGGTTATCTGAATGGTATTCAGTGCAGTTAAGCATACATAATAAAAACAGCAGAAGAAAACATTTGTGGTTGGAATAATAATAAAGATGTAATACATAAAATCCCCATAAAAACAACAGCAGAACAAACAATATGAACTTTCCTGAAGCCTTTAAAATGGCTCTTAAATGTGTAGACTTCCACGGAAGAAATGACGAACTGACGAAAAGTGTAAAAAGTGGAGCTATTGACCATGGTGAGTAGATTGGTTCTTTGTAATTTCTTTCCAGATATAGCAAGAACTTGAGATCGGCCACAAGTACTTCAGACAATTTTTCTCCACAAGGAGATCAGAAAATAGAAATATCTGATGGGTTTTGAGCTCTGGAAGATGTGGGAATAGCGATCATGCTGAAACTGGAGTTGGTGTCTTTAAAAGGATGATTTACATACCTCCTTTTCTAGTCACTCTTGGAAGCTTTTCACTTATTGGGAACCTTTGGATGAACAAGTTTTATAGCACTTGATGAGTTGTATGCAATCATTAGAGAAAGAAGTTTTAAATACTAAATAAAAGTTAAAGATTTAACTTTTTTTTCTGAATAACCAGCAAAAGAGTGATGAAAATCTTAATTTTAGAAAGTTACAGCTGGACTAATCCTGTGGAGAAATGCTTTTGTTTTGAATTCTTAAAAATATCTAAGATTTAAAAAACTGTACATTACCAGGAATTAGAAGGAACTAAAAATTACAATGAAAGGAAAAGAACTCTCAAACTCAATTTACAATTACAGAATGAAGCAAAATATTTTAAAACTGAAGATGTTGAAGAATATTTTTTGAACAAAACTCCCTAAAGTTAATTGTAACAGTGTTTGCCTCTGCAGATAAACTGTATTTAAGAATGCTATGAAAAAGAAGCAAGTTTTACATGACAACATTGAGTCTGGAAAGTGGAAATTAAAAAAAAAACAAAGTAGAAGAATGACATGGAAATAGATGTTACAGTGGGAATACAAAAGAAACTGGCTTATGTCTTAATTCTAAAATGGGATATACAAATAACAAACCAAGAGAGTAACCTGAATCATTTTCTTAACTTTGATTTACAAAAGAGGCTTGTTAAAGTTTTGAAGAATGTTGTGAGAAGGGGGCAAAGGAAAAAAATGAAACTGAGTTCTAGAACATTATTTGAAGGATTAAAGATTAAGATTATTAGAAGCAATATGAAGTAATATAAAGTTGGTTTACTTCTACCTTCTCAAGTACTTAGCAGGGGAGGGCTTGGCAGCACAAGGAAATAATAGCCAATGCCTTAATAGCCAACTATCAACACCTTCGTCTTCGTCTTCGTCTTCTTCAACTGGGTCTGATTCTCAGAAACTACCTGGACAAATCTCTGCAGGTTTGTTTTACAATAAATTTTCAGACATGATTTGCCATTACCTCTTTCTCAGGGCTGAGAAAAGGTGACTGGCCCCAAGTCACCAGCTTGCTTTGTGCCCAAAGCTGGACTAGAATTCAGAGTTTCCCAGTTTCTAGCCTGATGCCATAACTACTAGACTAAAAGGCATTTGAAATAGTACTGTGTGGCAATGATAAGCATATTATTGAAGCATTTATAAATTGCTATTGAAATTGAATTTGGAGAATGAATATGTGAAGCATTGTATGATTCAATGAGCAAAAAATGCTGGATATAATGTAATGCTTGAATAATTGAAAAACATGTGGATGAAGGGTTTAAAATTTATTTTGGCTAAAATTTAAAGAAAAACTTTTATAAAATAATGTATGATGGTATTTAACACCTGACAAATTTCCAAATATATATAAGATGTTTCAAAAGTATGTTGGAAATATAAATGCAAAGAAGGAACTTTTTATCAGCTTTGGTGAAGTTGTGACAAAGCAAAGAAATATTGCAAAAAGATTCACATTTTAATATATAAGTGACTCAAAACAAATATAAAAATCAAACCAGAGATTTTTCTTTTAGGTTTAATGGGCAAAGAACTTGAAAATCTTCATTTTTATACATGTTGAAAGTCGTGAGAATGCTCTATCTGCAAAAATGGAAAGATACACTATTTCCCACAATGATGGCTGGAAAAACTGATGGAATTGTCAGATATGGCCAACTATTTTATTAAACAAAGAAAAGTACACGTCCAATTTTACTTCTACTTGCAAACCAGTTCTGGATTTTGTGCTTGGGATTGAAAAAAAAAAAGAAACTTTGATTTTATGATTAGGCACATTTGTGCTTAAAGAAAAAGTCTAGTACATATTATATATGGAAAAGTAAAACGTTGAGGCTGTAATGCTACTATTTTTATTCTATTGCTCTGAAAATGCCTTCTTTCTTTATCCCCTTTATCCTGTACTTTTCTCTCTCTTTTCCCTTTTCCCGTTTTCCCACTATTTACAGTTGTATTTTATACTTTGATAGGCTTAATAAAATTATATATTTAAAAAAAACCATAGACAAACTTGCTCTCTATATAACAATATAACATAGCACAAAAATAATAAAACAAAGTAACAATAATATTTTTAAAAGAGTAAAATGAATAGAAGATTTAAGATGACCAAGACGAGGATTAGAGATGAGAATCTATTTTTTTTAATGACAACAAAGCAAAAATAGCAACTTGACTGCTGTAAATTGGAAACACATCCAGAATAAGACAATTCAATCATATGATCTGAGTCCTTGAGTTTACTTTTCATCATCAATTTGGCCATGATCTCATCGTAAATGGGGCAGTGAAGGAGCCAATGAGTAACATTTTCCATTTGACTAGCATCCCAGGGACATTTATTTATGTGCAAAGAATGCAAATAGGATTCAACTTTTCCATTGAACAAAATAATAAAAATTGAAACTTCTCTTGCCTAATCATGTTGCAAAGTAATACCCAAAAACTACTTTTAAGGCACCTACTTGAGGTCTTGAGAAGGTTCAGCTCTGATATGGGGGGTTTCCACAGAATGCTCAAAAACAGCTCCTTCTGTGCCTACAAGAAATACATGAATAGAATACAGTATAGTTACACTCCATGTCAACATTTCATTTGAAAAGTAATGAACCCCCCCTTTCTGAAAAACAAACTTAATCAATATTAATAAGCTAAATTAATATTTATGAGATTTATTTCAATGAAATTTATTGTAGAATAAATTTATTGTAGAACAATGCAACACATGAAGAAGTTTTGATTAAACTCACTAAAAGTAACAGCCTTGATCCATATGCCTGTAAATAGGTAAAATTAATGGGCACTTGTTCCTATTCCATTATTTCCACAGAAGCAGGAGGTCCATTACAAGACCTGTTCAGGTATCTACTTTCTCTGCAGTTTTGTAAACAATCCTTTCCTTTCATGGAGCTATAAATCTACAAAGTATACAGTTGTTGAAAACAATGACTGAATTATCTTCTTAATAGGTGCATAACATTTATACTTATTTAGAAATGCATGAAACCATTTTGCACCCAAGCCTGGCTCATATTCAGATCTTCAATATCTTATAAAATACTTAAGTGAAGATAAACAACTTAAAGAAAATTCTTTTGGTATAAAATACAAATTGGTTAAATTACTTACAATAAAAATTATTCTCTTACATTGTTAATTTTTTCTTCTAACAATCTGAATTCTCCTTCTTATTACCATTTAATGTGCTGTAGAACAGTGGTTCTCTTTTCTTCACCATGAACCCTGTTTAAATACTTTTTGTGGCCATGGATCATGGCCACAGACCTCCAAGACTTAACACAATATTTAAATCATAAAATTTCTTCAAGCCTTCACGGACCCCCTGTGATGACATCATAACCCCCTCAGGGATCCGCAGACCACAGGTTGAGAACCACTGCTCCTGAAGATTGTTAAAAACCAATCACTGATAAGCAACAATCGTCTATTTTCAAGCAGGTAGAAAGCAGATTAGAAGCATTGTTTTAATGGTTTTGGCAAACTAGAGTTTGCTTTTTTGGTTGTTATTCAGAAAAAGCATGTTGTGGTGCTCATTAACTGTAATTTTCTTTCCCCCTAAGAACCCACACCAAGAACAAATGGTCATTAAAAAACCTGAAAGATTTTTTCATGTATACAATGAAAGAGGAAGACAAATCACACAAGCCCAGCAATTCATAAAGCTTGTTTCTGCTCCTCAGAGCTAGATTTTCCTCATGGCTGAACTGAATGCCAATATCTATTTTTCATTGGTAAATGAGAATTTTCCTCTCTCCATTATGAATCCATATCCTGCCCCTGTTGCCTGGTTCTTTCATCTGATATAAGAGAATGACCTTGTGAAACCAGGGAATGAGCTTCAGCTACAGCTCAGTCGGTCCAATAAGAGGCAGCTTAACCCTTAATATTAACCCACAGAAGGAATGTAGGCAGACCAAACCATCTCAGAAAGTACCCTGCCTTTAATGTCTTGGGCTATACAGGAAACAAAGGAGAAAAATACTTCCAGACTGGTAGCCTTGCCAAGTAGATAGGAAACACACCCAGATGAATGAATTCTACCTTATTGTAAGATTAAATTGACAGAATATTTCAAGTCGGGAAGTACATTTCTCCCTGTCACTGATAACAGCCGAAGAAACCAGAGAACGTCCATTCTGAGTCATTTGCCACACTCCCACATGAAGGAGTGTCCTTTCTGAAACTTTTGCTCCTGCCCACATTCCTTCTGTAGGATAAATTGAGTCTTATCTGATCATTCTCCTGGGGGTGGCTCTTTCCCCTGTCTCTCAAGGTCAGTCCTGCATACCATTACATCAGGTGAATGAGTAAATCTAACTCACTTCTAGCGGAATGGTAGGGAAACTTAATACATATTAAAGGCTACTCAAGAGTGGGAAAACTTCATTAATACTGAAATAACTAATGCAATTTTAAGCTTATGTCACTCAAAAACTGGCCATGTTGCAGAAAGAAGTCACCTGCTTATGTTTATGCTTTGGTTAGGTAAGGTTCAAGTCAGGGATGGGATCCGACCGGTGTAACTACCGGTTTGGTGATTTTACACTTTGTGCATGCACGCGCGCTTTGCGCACCTGACTTATGCGTGTATATTCTCATCAACTAGCTGCCGGTTCCACAGCAGTTGAGAAGGCACTTTTTCCTGAGTTTTCAACCGCAGCTGTGTCGCGCAAAGCAGCTGCGGCTGAAAAAGCAGGAAATAAAGGTCAGGTAAGAGCCCGGGCAGGCGGGTGGGCCAAAACAGCAGCAGACATAGAACTGGTTCTATGTATGCTGTCTGTTTGCTGCAGAGCAACCAGTTCTACAGAGGTGGACAGAACCGGTAGAATCCCACCCCTGGTTCAAGTCCACTGCTTGAATGCTAACTGATCACATTTCCCAATGAAAGCAATGAATCAATTTGTTCTTTTGACTAGGGATTTTGAGAAAGATTTCCCAATTCAGACTTGGATAACAATATTAGATGAAAATAGAACTTCCAATGAAAGATGAATTTCCCAAAGTCCCCAGCTTGAACCTGTTTGTGTGCCCAGTTCTTACCATGGTAAAAAACCTCCCTCCCATCCAGTTCTCCCATCTAGTTGCAAAATACATTTCCTCCTCTCTTTATTTGATATTGCAAGTGACAGGAGCATAATCTGTGAGAGGACCAGACATGCTTCTCCTTTCCTTTTTCTGTCTTTACATGCACTTTAAATGCACTGTCATGTCTCCCTATACATTGGGTTTTGCTTTCAGATGTTCCTTAATCCATCAATCATTATGCATAAAGAAGGAAGAAGGAAAGAGAGAAATCTGCTTCATTTATTCCCATTCAATATTTCAGTTTTCAATACTTCGTGCAATGTAAGTAAAAATAAGATGGGAATATACTGTGAAAGTAAGTAAAAATTTGAAAGGGCATTTAAGGACTGGGCCAATTTTTTCCCCTTCCAAATTTGGTGATTGCCTTGCAAAAAGGTTCATATTCTCTCTCCCTCCCTCCCTCCCTCCCTCCTTCTCCCCCTCCCTTCCTTCTAATTGCATGCACATATATACTACACAGAGAAAGATATACACATACAGAGTACAGAATATGCATCACTGAAATTATTACAAACTACTAATTTGATTTAATTTTAGCCTCCCATATTAGACAACAAAAAAAATGAAGGTGCAGTACTTTCTCTTACATTGCCTGACCCTGAAGATGGAGGGATCACCCATAAAAAGATTAGAGATTAGAGCAGACAGAGCATTGAAAATCTTCCAAGAGATATCATTCCAATAAAGCAAGCAATACCCTGCAGGATAAATGGAGCTGTTTTAAATGGCATGATTCTAAAAGATATTTATCTGATGCAAAGCTCTGTGTACATGGCATTCATCCTAATTCAGTACAAACCACATCTAGTCATGCATTTGCAAATTGTCCTCCCTTGAAACTATGGAAACTGAAGATGTAGCGCTCTCAGACACTGACTGGGGTAAACTACTTATTCTGCTCAATTTACCAGTTACTGAGATCTAACCTTTAGAAAATGACAATGAACATGGTTTCATTAATATCACTGGAAATATATATTATAAATTACAATGTCGAAAGCTTGGTGATAGATGTTGGTAGCTATGCACCCAGAGAATGAATAGAGCAAAAGGATACTTGTTATATAAACAGCAAATGAAAGAGTTTCTCTATATAGCATCTTGATCTCAAACAGAAAAAACACACACAAAGAATAGTAGCAAATAGAGGCAAAATTGGGTAATTATGTTCTTCTATTGAGAGAACTGTATATGCAATTTAAAAAAGAGCCTGTTAATTTAATTACAGCATTTGAGGCCAGAGTAAATGAATTCAGCTCTGGGGGAATGTATTGTTTATTTCAGATAAGGGAATTGAAAAAATAATTGCAGAGTTTGCTGAAATTAATTTACAATAACCTAGAAACCATGTGGGTTTGCTTCCCAGGAAAAGCAAAAGGAAGGGATTTTAGTCCCAAATCAGGTGGGAATTCCAGTGGTTCTTATCTAGCAAGAATTGGTCTTAGTGAAACAAAAAATAATAATTAAAATGAAAGCTAAAAATATGAAACTAAAAAAAGAAAAAGAAAAAAAACTTTAGTTGTTCATATCTTTGATGAAAGATTGTTAGACATGGTTGTGGAATGAAATGAGTGAAATTTGCCTTTAAGTAAATCCTAAATTGACTGAATTGTTTTGATCAGGTAGACCAGGGGTGTCAAACTCGTGTCTTCATGGCATCATCATGTGATGCATCGCAACTTTTTCCCCCTTCACTAAACTGGATGTGGCGATGGCCAGCATGTGATGCATTCGGCCTGTGGGCCATGAATTAGACAGTCTTGAGGTAGACTGATTAAAATGAACAAATAAAAACCATGAGATGTTTCATTTAAGATGATACTTTCAGGAAATTTTAGTCAGAACTCATTCCTCCTCCCCGCACTACAAAATATGGATAATGTTGGGAAGAAAATTTAAATATCATCTTAATTCCCATGACAAATTAATATTATGGAATAATAATAAACTGAAATAGCTGGAAAATCTTTTTCATTTTTTTTGTGCAGCTTACTGTCAACCAATCCTTTACAATTTCCAATGTTTTGCAAAATAAATTTGGATCAACTAAAACTACTGAATGGAATACATTTAATATGTAAACTACTTTACATATACTTTATTTATTTATTTGCAAAATACATTTGGATCGACTAAAACTACTGAATGGAATACATTGAATACATTTAATTAAAATTTCTTTTCATCTGACAATTTGGGTTTGATGCATTAACAGCTTTGAAACTTCCTCGCTATTAGTGCAACTGAAAGAGGTTTATGAGTCCCACATTTACTCTCAATTTTTGCAGATCTCAATTTAGTGGACTTCGGATATAATGAGCAAAATACTTGTTTCATTTATGAAATGCTATGTTATTTTTCATAATTGCACAAATGATGTAAAATGGTATAAGTGATGTACCTTATATAATGATGTTGCTATGAATGAAGTC